TATTATTATTATTATTATTATTATTATTATTATTATTAGTGCCGGTATTATGGTAGGAGGGAGGAGTTGGAGCCATGCGTGATATCAGACTGTACCTTGCATAACACTGTGAATCACATTGGTATGATCTCGAATTTCTGAATTTACGAGAAAACAAAATCCTTAAACCTGTATTAACCTATTTTTACATTAAGGAGGATGTTGACTTTGGCAGGACACGTGCGCTGGACCACGGCCAAAGAATACTATATTACTCTTTGTCCACGGTCATGGCCGCGGCCATACTCTAATTCCCATTCACAATGCAAACGTAAACATAAGCATAACGCATAGACGTAAACATTAACATAAGTAATAGACTGAAGTATTTACAACGTTTAACATAAACGTAAGCAAAATAAGTTTCTATAGAGGCTGTGAGGCATTCTAGTTTACTATTGGTTGGATGTGGGAATCGATTTTGAGGTATCGACTATGCCCATAGCCCATCTGGCGTTAGTTCATCTATCGACTTCGCTCATAATTCGATTCTCGATTTTGACATACCGTTCTGTGTTCTTCGTTTCTTATGTGTTACTTAAGCATAAACACAGACGCGTGCAAACTTTTAGGTTAACGCCTTAAGTGTTAAGCTTATGAGAACGAATTGTGAATGACTCCGCGTATGGACGTATTCCTAACTTTTATGTTAACGCCATACTTATGCTTATGTTTGCATTGGACCTTAAGCGCGCAATGGACGACATCTCTCACTTTTGGATGCAAGGTACTTTCGCCTTTGACTAATAACATTTGCGGGCCACAATAAATGACATCACTAGCCGCCAAGTTGGACAACTAATTCTAAGTGGTGGAGGGCTGCATAACACGCAGAGCCCTCTTTGTGCAGCTTCGTGCACGCACGGAATGTGCAATGCACGTTCATTCCACTGCGGTGCGACCATTGCTACACTATCTATGGCCAATCCTGTAACAAAGAAAAACATATGGTCAAGGCAGCTAGCGCGCGCATTGCGTGAGTAGAATTACCAAGTTGATGTTTCAAGTCTAATTTCTCTGTTTCAGATTACTCTTACTCCAGGAAGTGCTTCGGTCGCCTATACTTGACCCATTAATCAGTTTGGTATGAGTCAATCTCGGAAATGACAGAGTTTTCCGAGTCAGCTGCTTTTCAAAAAAAAAAAAAAAAAAAAAAAAAAAAAAAAAAAAAAAAAAAAAAAAAAGAAAAGAAAGAAACAATATTTTTGATATGATTAGTCAGCAGTTGTATTGATAGAAGGTGATGTAAGTTTTTAATGGGAGTGTATCTAGGGGCGCAGAAGGCGGCTCTAAGGTATTCCTTTTGTTTTTGCATAACATGCTCTGTTCAACGCTCGGTATATATGCAGAGGCTCACATTAATATTCTGACAGTCACAAATACAGAAGACGTTTATTGTTTGACTATTTTTTCGCATGTGCGCGAAAGTTACATGTGAGGAAATGCAAAGGAACTGTGTCTCTATTATTTGGAAATATAATAATACAAAGAAAATATTTCTGATGCACAATATACGTTTCATAAACACGAATTTATGAGTGAATATGCAAGAATACGGTCATTAATTTTCAGTCACGTAAAGGAAAATGTCCTGTTCACTCCTCTCCACTCTCCTAGATAGCGCGGTATCACCCCCTACCCAGGTCAAACAATACTATGCAGTCAGTCGCTGTAAATAGTTCCGTCTGGAAATACCTCTAGGAATGGGGCACAATGGAAAGAACTCGATTGAATTCAAATTCAATTCAATAATGTACTTCAGCTTCAGGTACAATAACCCCCATCACGATCGGGTTAATGCCGTTTCCCTGATCCTTTGACCAAATGCTCGGATGGCCCCTTGTTACGTATTACGTATAAGATACGGAACTTTCACGTATCTTGTTTTGCTTCTGGGCGTAAAAATGTAACTTCACTATGCGCACGTTTTGTTGAACTCTCCTTTTGCTTGTAGTGGTAAGGACGAGTTACTATTTTGTTAGCAATGCAGAAAATAAAATCTGTAGTTCGTTTACCGCTGTAAATAAGTTTCTATAACTCGGGAACGAAAATGTCTAGTTTTTCAAATGTCGCTAATTCGCGCTTTTTTAAATTTTATATATTTATTTATCTTTAACTTTTACGTATCTTTCAACTATTTATAGTTAAAATGACGGGAAGGGATTCTGGAACTCAAGAAAATGTGTGCATATTATCTTCTCCCCCATACGTCACATAGTTTTACCGTTATTTTACTAAATGAATCTAAATAACTATATCAACTTCAGTTTGCAAAGGAATATGTCACGCAATCAGAGGGGTGGTGGCGTGAGGTAATTTTTGTAGAAGAGAAAAAGTTTAATATTTTTGGCAGTGACGGTAGAAAAATGATATGGCCAAGCCAAATACAGAATTGCTTCCTTAAAACATAGTGTCAACTGTGAAACACGGAGGTGGACACATAATGGTATGGGGCTGCATGTCAGCTGCTGGCATTTAATAAAGACACAATGGACAAAGATCAGTATCTCAACATACTGAAGAATTTACTCAAATCTGTTGACACACTGGGCATCAGAACGTGTTTAAATTTATAAAGATAACGATCCGAAACACAAATGTGAGGGAATGGTGGTTGTACAATTATCCAATAGTGCTGGAAATGTCGCCACAAGTCGTGAAATTGGGTGTTTTTACATAAATCAATAGGTACTTAGCTAACAGATTTTCGAGATATTCTAAAATAATCGGGTTGGGTGTCTTGATGTGATGTGGAATGGTTCTCTGCAATGATGAGCTCAGATAATTGTATGAATTTTCGCAATTTGTGCGTCTTGTGTGTTATTACTTTTGTTTACAATGTCGCCAACACTATGACTTGCATCGCATGTGGCTGACGTCATGATTTGCTCCTTGCCTGCCTGCCCCAAAGAATCACAAAGAAAAGAACCTGCCCGGTGGGTTGGCTGAGTGTCCGGCTGCTGTGTTGAACGTGCAACCAAATTGCGAATTTTTCTCTTACTTTGCATTGCGACATGAAGTGCTGATGGCGAAATATAGTTTTGTGTATTACAGTTGTTCTATTTACCGCGTGAAGCGGATTCCGTGTATTGTTCAGCGATAGAAAATAGTAAAGTTTCGTAGCACCATGGCATTCAGGCTTTTAACGATAGCAAGGCAACTTGATAAAGTACTTTCAAACGGTGTAAAACGTGATAGAATTGTGGAGGCAGCCTTAAAAAGGAAACTTACCTCTCTTCCCCGAAATACTGCTGCAAGTAGTATTGAGTATATAATACAGCAATGGAAAGCATTTTGTAGCTCACAACCACCAAAAGGATTCGAGAAATACTTCAAACCTGGCGGCGGTGCAAAAAAGGTGGAATCAAAAAGTGCTTCTGGTGCAAGTAAAGAAGCACCAAAGCCTGCAGATGTGCCCCCTCCTTCAAGAGGTCAGCAGCCATCATCAAATCAGACCCAAAAATCAAAGCAATATGATCAGTGGTCATTTGGTCTTTTTGGGGGATCGTCCACAAGGTATTTTGTTTTTTATTCTGTCAAATTAAACAATAAATTATTCTTTGGAATATAATTATTTCTTCAAAAGTAGATTCAAAAGTTTATTCATATAGATTATTATTCAGTATTTGCTTGTCCAAAATTTATTTCCAATACTGTAAGAATGACAGTTTGAAGTTACACTCCTGTTTTCAATCTCTTAGAAGTCAGCAAAAAGAGTTAAATTTGCCATGGTAATTACACATTCATTACATCATGTGTGTAGTGATATGAAATAGAGGTTAGGGTTGTCTCATATTATGCAAGAATTACAAAATAATTGAGACACAGAGAAGCAGAAAAGGTTTTTCTGTTGTTTTGTTTGTCAGGTCATGTCCCTAATAATCTCATTTTAAGTTTTCAAATTCAATTTCAAATATTTCAAGCTAAAGTATATATTGCATCATCTCCATCATGTCCAGTGTAAAAATCTTATTCTACATGGAGACGCTGTTTTGAATTAATAAATTGTACTTTAACAAGACTATCTTTATGGATTGAGCTTTGACAAGGGCAATATGATATTGAAATTACAATGACCATATTCAAAACTCCTTTATGAAATTCTGGCTTTTAAAAATTATATTATACTTCATAGAATATTATTTTGAATGTAAATGTAGAACCGTTTAAAGATTTGTGAAATTATGGATTAATTAGTATAATTATGTTCTGGAGAAATTTAAATCAATTAGTTCAATTTCATTATGCAATCATTAGTATCATTGTAGTACTTGATTCAGTGATTAAATTGATTTTTAAGAAAGCCCCTTTTGTCCATTAATTTTAACCTTCAGTTAATTGTGCCAAAATATACTGAAATTCTTGTGAGTTTCACATTACCCCAATACCAGTATCCAATATGTTATAATAGTAATAATACATTAAGTTAACATAATTGCATTATGTACTTAAAAACAATTATTTTCAAAATCTAAGCCAAGAAATAACTCATCTAAATACCAAAGCCCTTATTTTTGAAAGTTCAAGAAACTGTACTTGAGTTCTTGAGAGTAGTTGCAGACTTTTCTTGTATGCATACCACATAAAAATGTAGCACATTTATCTGCAATCTTCATGATTGCTTCCCTTTCTGATGATCTTAGATAAGTGCAGCAACAATTGTGTAAAATCTGAGGCAGTTTCAGATGATGCACACCATAACAAAATGAGCATGGTGTATTTTGCTACATGAGTATTATAGTGCGTATTTAGAATCACCCAGTCCCCCCAAGTACATTGATATATGCAATTCAGTATGGAAAGGGTGACAACTGACCTCAGAGGGCTTAATGATTTAAGAAGCTATCAGAGAGAACAATTTTGTTGTGTTAACACAGATGTGAAACCCATAAAAATATGAAGTTTGGAGACTCAGTGACCAGGGTGGAGGAGAAAATGCTTACCTAGATTATGTTTGAATTGGACTTGAAAATTTTGTGTTTTTTGGCTCAGATCTGGTGGCAGTGGGCCAGGAGGTCCAAAAGGCTTTGCCAGCGACGGAGGCGAGCGGGAGCGCTGGCTCGCAGTGGGGGCTTTGGCTGCTGTTGGATTGTTGGGCACCATAGCTTTCTATGAAATGAGCTACACAGAGATAGCATGGAAGGAGTTTGTGCATACTTACCTATCACGAGGTATTGTTGACAAGCTGGAAGTTGTCAACAAGAAATGGGTTCGGGTGCGATTGACTCCTGGGAACTCGGTTGATGGCAATGCTAACACAATTCTGTGGTTCAACATTGGCAGTGTTGATTCGTTTGAGCGTAATTTGGAAAATGCGCAGTCTGATATGAACATTGATCCTGCAAATTATGTGCCGGTAACTTACAAGACTGAACTGGAAGCAGCCAGCGTAACAGGTAAGAATGTCAGAATTATCAGTGGCAATGTGAATTGTGAACTATTTTTGGTTAGGAATCATTAGACTTTCATGTTCTTTCAAATCATTGATGGCTGTTTTGAGATACATTCTGGTAATATTCATTCCAAAATATATTTTTCATACGATCCAGTGGTAATGAACCAAATTGTTTTAAGTTGGTTAAGAAGACCAATAGGTAAATCAATAATTGCAATTTTCATTATTAATGTTATTATTCTATGAATTTCAAAGTGCGTCCTTTGTGGTCAGTTGTAGAACAGTTAACCTTTTAAGCTAAAAATGCTTTATCAGATTCCTCATTTCAGCCTCTTTTTGTATACTTTGCTCGAAGGAATCTTACCAACGCTGCTCATTATTGGTTTCCTGGTGTATATGATGCGACGCTCGGCTGAAATGATGGGAGCGAGGGGCGGCCGACGTGGAGGGGGAGGTCTGTTTGGCGGCGTCATGGACTCTACCGCCAAGCTTATAAACTCCAGTGACATTGGAGTGCGCTTTAAGGATGTAGCTGGTTGTGAGGAAGCCAAGGTATGTATGTGCCACTGTTGGACCAAAAACTATTCCTGAACTATAATCTTGGCAAACATACACCAGTTGCTGTGGATGCTGAATTAGTTTTCTACCCAACTTTAATATAGTAGTATAATCAAATTTTATATTTTGTTGTAGAGTACACTCTTAGTGAAATTGGAAATGAGTTTCACTAGTTAAGACCCTCAAGTTTTATTGCAAATTAAATGTTTATATTTTTCTTTTTTTAGCGTATTATTCTGTATTAATTTCTTATTTTATTATGATTAAATATTTTAATATTGATAAATAAAGAAGAAAATTATAAGAAACCAAATCTTGTAATGAAATTGACTAGGGAAGTACTGCACAATAGCTGAAATAGATATATCGCAAAAATAGAACATGATGTACATGGATGCCAAGAAAAAGGTTATAAAGTAATGAAACATTCAAATAGAGACATAAAAGATGAAGTCAGTGTCCAAGTTATTAAGGCAGACCGATTCCTCCCATATTACAAGAAGATATGTAAAAACACACTGACCAAATAGAATGATTTACATCACTAGAAGTGGACAGAATAGGGTATAGAGAACTGGGAGTAGCACTAAAGAAAATAAAAAATAGAAAAGCCACTGGAACAGATAATATCAAATCCGAATTGATGAAATATGCTTCAGAGATGGGCAATTCCTTCTCTTCCTTAATCTAGTGGAACGATTAAGGATTGAAGATTTTGATGGTATACCCCGTATTTAAGAAAGAGTATTATTTAGATGGTAATTATAGATGAATAGCTTATTAAATGTGGCATATAAAATAGTATATTAAAAAATAATAACTGACAGATTATGACCAGTTCCAGAGACAATGCTACAAGAAGAGCAGAGTGGGTTCAGAAAATGGGGATCCTGCAGTGACCCAAGTAAATGATTGAAAAACATAAGGATTTCAACAAAGAGGCACTTTTGTTTTGTAGACTACAAAAAAAGCTGTTGACACAATTGATATTCAGTAGAATCCTTATTTAACAATACTTTAGGGAAGCATAAAATTCTTACATTAAATGAGGGTTTCCACTGAGAGTTTGATGTCCTCTTTGAAGAAACAACTTAAAATTAATCAGGAATTATTGATTTTATTTTTAAAAAATGCTTTATTTTTATAAAAGGAGACGTCCATAAATTACTAAATGCCAAAGAAGGGGCTGGGAGTTTGAGGCAGCGTTACACTGCGTTACGTAGGGGTAGGGTGGTCATGGTTTAGTGTTATGTGATGCTGATATTTATATTTTAAATGTTTTGACATTTGCTGAAATAATTCCTTGTATTTAGTTTTGTATCAAAATCTAAAAATATTACCAAATTAAATACAAAAATATGTATAAGTTAGTTATGGTGTATAGATTGTTAAATAAATGCAAATATTTCTTTATCTTTTCTTTTTAAATTGAATTAAATTGGCAAAGTATAGTTTAAAGACCAGCGTTTGTCTCGGATGGGGCAGTGGTCCAGTGGTGGGAGATACCTGAGGAGGAAAGCCTGTGTGTGGGTTGGCACCGAATCTTGCCATCCAGTGGAGAAAGATCACTGCCACCTCCAGTGGTCAAAACATGCAATACTCTTATGAGGACTATTGACATTAGCAGTTAATGCGCTCAGAAACACTAATCAGTAAATCAATCAATTGGTTGTTAAAATAATTTTCCTCATCTTACCTTGCATTTTTTATAATTACTTGGAACATTTATCATATATTAAGTTAATATTTCCATTTTCAAAAAGAAGTTGTATTTGTAGGACTTTTAATGGCTGACAATGTAAACTTTTCATCTTGTACACAAAGTCCTTTTTCATTTGTTCTGCAGTTAGAAATCATGGAGTTTGTTAACTTCCTGAAGAACCCACAGCAGTACGTTGATCTCGGAGCCAAAATCCCTAAGGGTGCCATGCTGACCGGACCCCCAGGCACTGGCAAGACCTTGCTGGCAAAGGCAACTGCTGGGGAAGCCAATGTACCTTTCATTACAGTCTCAGGATCAGAGTTCCTTGAAATGTTTGTTGGTGAGTAACATGGAACCACTGTGCTGATTGCTAAGTCACGAGATTTCTTAAATCTTTATTAAGAGACCTTTTTTATGTAATTATGAATTTCTCAATATGAAAATAGAATATTTTTTTAACTTTGTTCTCAGACATATTTTTAGTAATTTGCCTTCATTGAAACTTGTTTTTGAAAACTTCAAATTGCAAAGAATAGTCTTATTTGGTATCTTCCCACATTGTTATTGTTCAATTTGGTTTTACTTTTGATTCTGTGAGATTGCTGGTGTCAGGTAGACTAATTTAGAAATTGAAATACAGTTTCATCTAAAAAGAGTAATTGCATAGATGTGTAATGAAAAATAAACACCAGGTGGCAAAGAAATTTGCTCCAAGTTATTTGAGAGTTCTTGCCATATCTGTTATCAAATGTCTTCAGGCATTATGAAATACAGAAAACTCCTGCGTTTATGTTCCTGCATTTTACATTTTTTACGTAATTTTTCTCTCTTTATTTTTTTCTTTCTTATATACATACATATGATACATTATATAATAAGTGCAGCTAAAAATGGTGATTTTTCTATAGAAAACTTACACTGGTGCAGAAAAAATTGGATAAATCCAATTCCAATATGTAGTAAATTACTATATATGTATGAACTCGCAAAGCCTCATATTTGTTCAGTTCAATTCAGGAATATCAGTTTTGGAGAAAATGGGTAGAACTGCTGTTTAGGCACTAGCTATAAACTAGCTATAGCACTACAAATGGACATACAGATGTTGCTGTCAATCAATGGTTTTTGGTATTCCAAGGACCCTTCAAAACATCGATTTTGGCTACCTCATGTATGTTTCAGTAAATTGGACGGCAATACTTTTACTTATATATTGGGATCTGTCACCTTTATATTATACAGCTATCTTTCAGTACCATTGGCCTCCGTCAACTAGGATCTTTCTGGTGCAGATAATTCTCTTCATTTATTCTCCGTGGCAAATTCATAAGTACTTTCATACTTTTTATAAAATAGGCTATAAAGTATTAATGAAGAACAGAAGACCACAAATTTAAGATTACAATTAAGTGATAAGTACGACACTCTGAGCCTCTCGATTCTTTTATACTTTTCCTGCTTTCTTATTCTTCTTTTCTATCCATTTGGTCATCTGAATGAACTGTAATGAAAAGAGCTATCCATACTGTATTCTGCCTCATTTTCATTGTTGGGCATTCCATCTACTCTATCCATTTTAGACATCGTTAAACTTCTCTAGCCTATCCTTATCAAAATTTCTCATTCTGTTTATTAACACTTAGTTGGATGCACTTATGCAGGTGTTGGAACCCAGTAGGGTACGTGATATTGTTTGCATATGCCGAAAAACGCATGCCCTTGCATTTTGTTTATTGATGAAATTGATTGCCGTCTGGCGCCGTCTAAAAGAGTGTCTGGTCAGCAGCTTTGGAGGCCATCTTCGAGCAAACCGAGATACATAACAAGCTCTTGCGAAATGATGTGTACAACACAAATGCTCCTCTTTGATAAAGTTGTGTGCTTCAACACACAAATGTCTGTATCTGGCATGCGTACAATCTGGTTCCGCAGGTTGAGCCAGTAAGCCATCTCTTTATAAGTTTATATTCCCAAAAATGTAAGTAATTGACATTCTATGTTATTTCAGCAAATAATTTAGTCATGTAGACTCATTGGTTTGCGTTTTTCTTAGCGACTTACTGGTTGACGAGCAGCAGTATTCCATGTATTTTCACTTGTAAAGTACACTCTACATGTATTTCCACTTTTTACATTACCTATACAGTCTACTTTTACATTGTATTCGTTTTCACAATTATAGTGTTGTCCACCCGGTTTAGTCTCTACCGACAGTGAAAGAAATATTATTACAAACAAAACAATGTTAGTTTAACCACCCAAATTTAATACATGATTATAATACATGTAGACAATTAATACTATAGTAACCCAAGGTTTTTCCAAAACTGTTTTATCGATCCATATGGTAGGGGTGTTCCCATGATTTATTAAAATAAACTTCAGAATTTGATTTTACTTTGATTCTTGTCTGACAAGTTTTTTGCTACAATAATAATTTTGCATCTTATCATCTACTGTAGGTTATTAAATATAGGTGTGCTTGTTGGTATATAAGCATTAAAATTGTGATCTTTCAAATTAGTTTTATTCCAAATTTTTATCATCATTCAAATTTTGGAATGAAATTGGAGTTTTAGAATGAATGATTTGATTTTTAATTTATTCACTCTGTGAACTCTGAAGAAAGGAAAATGATAATTCAGAGATTAAGGAAGAGTGAGAGATATTTTAAAAATTCAAAGTGTTAAAGTGTTGGTGGTTTAATTAAAATGGAAATAAAATTTTACATACAAGCTTTCTATGAGGAATATTCTCTTGCCTGTTATATTATTAAAATAACGTAACTTTAATCGGATACTGGGGGGTCTTAGTAACATTGTGTGAATCGTTTTGTTCCAAGCATTTTATTCATTAGCTGAGCAATGCAAAAACAGTAGTATTTAAGTATTTTCTTGTAATTGAAAATCAATAATTTCCAATTCTGTTCTCTCAGGATGATATGCATCTGAAATATTTAAACAAATTTATATTTGACTGTGTTAGGCATTGCTTCGTCCAGGTCGCTTTGACCGACAAATTTTCGTACCAGCACCAGATATAAAGGGCCGTGCCTCAATTTTCAAGGTGCATTTGCATCCTCTCAAAACGAATCTTGACAAGTTGGATCTGGCCAGGAAGATGGCAGCTCTTACCCCGGGATTCACAGGTAAGTTTTGTATATGGCAGATGTTTGGATACCTCATAAGTGAAGAGAGCATTACATTCATGAGTAGACCAGAAACCTATATTGGTTCATATGCTGTACTACGCTATACCTCTTACACTTGCTGGTCGAAATTTTCCGAACATAAAACTGCTGGCTGTCATAATCTGTGCCAACTCCACGAGCTAAAGGCCTGACCATGCACAACTTATGGTTTGATAATTGATCTATTGTGCTGTTGAAATGAGTGGATATTTGGCACTTGCTTTCAGACAAATATATCATGGAAATATTGTTTTTTATCCATCTGAGTTCTGTGGATAATGATTTGTATGGAAATGCTCTACATGTCACGTGTCAATCATTATTCTAAATGGATAATGCTCTTGTGGAGTCTGAAAGAGATTTAAAATATTTGGATTTTAGTTTTTTCTTTCTGTCTTTATTTCTTTCTTTCCTTCCTTCCCTCTTTATTTCTCTACTTTCTTTTGTTTCAAAAAGTTACAATTAGTTAGGGATATCTTGAGAAAGGTCTCCCAGGTCGTTTCATCTTAGTGATAAGTTGCTGTGGATTAAAATAGGCGTTAAAAACATATTTTTCAATCAGCAAAATATGTTAGAATGTTCCCAAGTGTATTACAGGTAGGAGGTAGTTTTTCATATAAATTTTGAATTAGTTCAAAAAATGTCCATAAATATGGCACCTTCTTTGTGAACATTATTTCTACAAAACATGGTTTCAGCCAAATTTACTCTTTCACTTGCTTGTAATTTCAATGATATTCTAGAGTTATGATCAGTGCAGTCATGAAATTCAAAATTTATAAAAGGCTTCTCTTGTTTCGTATTTTGTGAGATCTATAGGACTTCCAGCCACACACGTTCATAATTTTCTTGTCTTTAGGAGCAGACATCGCGAATGTGTGTAATGAAGCAGCCCTGATAGCGGCTCGTGATTTGAACGAATCCATAACGATGAAGAATTTCGAACAAGCAATTGAACGTGTCGTTGCTGGTATGGAGAAGAAGACTAATGTTCTACAACCAGAAGAGAAGAGAACGGCAAGTATTCCTTGGTTCTCAGATAAAAAATTAAAACTTTCAGTGCAAAAATTTGCATTACATCCATTGATTTGTATCACATGGTGACTAGCGAAATCTAATACATCTGTGTATGGTTGAACTCTAGATGTACTTGATGAAGCACAGTTACTCTTAGTTAGAGCAGTAAATGTTGTACATGTACAACTAGATGGGCAGTGGTGCCCCTACAAGCTAAGCCAAGCGACAGAAAGTAAGGTTGTGGCGTGCAGAACTTTTGACTTCACTTATATGGGTAACAGTGCCAAATAGTCTTATAGTACTTATAGTATATTTTTGGCTAAATCTTCATTTATTTGCCAATCACAATCCTTTTTTGCAAAATGAATGCAAAGATCAATAAATAATCATTTATTCCTTAATGATTACTGTAAATTGTTCTTCAGCGGTAAGAAAATAAGGATGTAGTTTAATCATGTAAAAACCAGTCATTAGTATTTACTATATTTTTTTCATTTAACACTGAGGTGAAAAAAGAGAAATTTTAAATGCCACTTATTTGTCAAACTTGTGCCTAAGGAATTCGCCTTCTTATTTTGTTTCGAATTGTAAACTTTTAGGCAGTTAGTGCATTTAATTTTGATCATTTAACTATTCAATGCTTGAATATAATCAAGTTAGCTCCAATGAAGTTGTTTCTGCAGTGCTCAAAAATGCGTAAGTCAGGTATTAAATAGAACACAATTGAGATTAAAGAGATGAAAAGCTTAGGAATACAGAGAAATATTTTGGAAATCATCCGTTAAAGGACTATTGGAATATTTAAAAATGAAACCCATATATCAGACATTGGTTTACTTTGTTGAAATTATTACACAAAACTCTAAAAGAAGTATGAGAATACAACTAAACTGCCTTGCATTTATGTACAATGTCTCAAAGAAGGGTGATAGAAAGATGGTGTCACACTTCATTGCTACCTTAGCATCCGACATAGGCTTGGCCAATCTACGTACTATAATTTACGTTATGTACGATAATAATTACGTACTATATTTTTTTGTAATAGTGCTGTTTCAGTATAATTGTATGTTAATATACAAGGATGATTTGCAAAGTTCTGAGTTTGGCAGTGGGGCGAAACAAATTAAAATTATTTGAATTTACCAACATCTCTCAACTAAATTCAAAAAGTTTTGTGCATCCTACTGATACTTTTGTTTACAACTAGGTGACATGTCCCAGACATGTGTGCTATGAAATGTGTATTCAAATTCATGGCAGAAATATCAATAGACTCTTTGTAGTAAACGTTGACTCTAGATTAACAACTGTTACGTCATAACTTTCTGTTTGTTCTTACAGGTTGCATATCATGAGGCAGGTCATGCTGTGGCAGGCTGGTTTCTGCAACATGCGGACCCATTGTTGAAGGTGTCCATTATACCCCGTGGCAAAGGTCTTGGTTACGCGCAGTATCTGCCAAAGGAGCAATATCTTTACAGCAAAGAGCAGCTGTTTGATCGTATGTGCATGACTCTTGGTGGCCGTGTCTCCGAGGAAATTTTCTTTGGACGGATCACAACTGGTGCTCAGGATGATCTCAAGAAGGTGATTCAACCCATTTAATGATTACATATGAGGGAGATTTAAAAACCTTGAGTGAAACTGGGATATTAAAAAGTCCTTGAGGAATTAAAATTTTTAGAACACGCACATTCTTTCCGGACTAGGTGATAATGAATGATTTCTAAAATAACTCAAAGCCAAAAATTTAATGCTAAAATAAAACTTAATAATTTATTAAGGAATTGTAATAAAAAATCTCCTATCTAATAATGGCTGTTTTAAAAAATGTGTAGCTTTCAATAATAAATTCAAAGTACCATTTTGGTGTTATACAATCCGTGAGTCCAACAATGCTATGTCTGCATCTTGAATATAAAATGTGAACCATTCTTACCTTTTACAGGAAAATCTGTTTAAGCTGGAAATGATCAGGACCAAATATTTCAGTTCGCGGGAGGTTTCTGTTTTATGACGCTTGTGATATTGATATTTCAGTACTGACTGCTGCAGCTGTCTCTCCTTCACTGTGTGGTTGCCATGACTAAATCGCGTGTCACTGAGACAGGGAATTTAAAATAGACTTTCAGATGCATTCATTCCATTAAGAATATATTGTGTTTTCCAATTCCATTAAATTCACAGATATTCCAATTTATAAAGGGTTTTTTTTTCCCTTTATTCTCCCCTTTAAGACATGAAAAACCATTCTGTTTCCGTGTGGGGACAGGTTGCTTTTTATGCTGTGTAAAATGCCATTTAACGTCACGAGCCAAGGAAATTTTCCTGTTAAGGCAGGTTCTGGTTTAGACAAATTTTGCTGTATTTTGTTGACTGACATCTGAGAATGCTTTTTTTTTCCCCCGCAGGTAACGCAAAGTGCATATGCTCAAGTTGTGCAGTTCGGAATGAACGAAAAAGTTGGAAACGTGAGTTTTGACATGCCTCAACCAGGTGAGATGGTTCTGGAAAAGCCTTACTCTGAGCACACAGCACAAATTATTGACTCGGAAGTGCGTAACCTCATTGAACGGGCTCACGTTCACACAAAACAACTTTTGTCTAAGCACAAAAGCGATGTAGAGAAAGTAGCAGAGCGCTTGCTTCTAAAAGAGATTCTAAGCCGTGAAGACATGATTGAGTTACTCGGAAAAAGACCTTTCCCAGAGAAGTCCACGTATGAGCAATTTGTAGAAGGAACAGGTTCGTTTGATGAAGATACTTCCTTACCAGAAGGGTTGAAGGAGTGGAACCGCCCCCGTGAGGGAGAAATGGGTGGTCCGACACCACCTGCCCCCAAAGTAGAAACAAAGTCTCCTCCACATTGACCAGCCATGAGAGTAGTTCTGACTGAACAGGTCACACAGTTGTTAACCGATTGCAAGCCGCTTTCTGGAATTGTATCAGAGGATAGCAAATGGATACAGAAGAGGTAGCAGTATGTTAACTTGAGGACATCAGCTTTAGCACTGACACGTATCAAGTTTGTGCTGTCTATCTGAAGACTGTCAGAAGATACAAACAGAGTTCCATTAATGAAGCAGTTATTGAAAATTGTATATAGAGGTGCTCTTAAATACAACATGATCACATAATGTGATGTGTCAAATACGACAGAGAATTTTCTGGACGTTGTGTAGTAAATCAGCCTATTTATTTTGATTCTAAGAGAATGAATGACTCGTGTTTAATGCCAAACTTCGTGGTACAGAAGGTATTGGGAAAACTGTACTACAGACTTTAACATTTTTTTGTGTATGCCTGCTATTAAATACACAAATGTTGAATTAGCTTTGATTTCCCAATACCTCTGTTACATGTTTTCTCCTTAATAAAGAAGAATCTGTTATGAAGTCAGTCAATCTTAGTATTTTTGAGGATGCAATACTGTCTCGTTTAAGGACGCTGTTAATGTTACAATAGATCTAGTGCAATGTCAGGAGGTAGTGTGAAGAAATTTTAATAAAATAATGGAAAATCCTTATGGTACCCATATGCCGAGTCATTTTTTTGTATGGTTATGAAACCTAATTGAGTTCACCTACCAATTTCTTGTCTTGTGCTACAAATTATTCAAGATGTGTAATAGTACATATTCTTTTTAAACAAATTGAAAAAAAAAAAGAAGGGTGTGAGAGTAAAAGATGAAATTCCTAAAAATTGTAGTTTTGCCATATGTTGACAGTGTAGCAATACTCAGATTGTTTAATTTATGGCTCATAGTTGGCCCCCTGTTTTCATTTTTGAGAGACTCTCTTAAACCCCTTAAACCAAAATGTTCACTTGCTTTTTCTTGAGAGCATTTATATGTGCTATTTCTATTTTACATTCACTCCCTTCAATATGTTGTGTATTTATTGCCTGAAATTGTTTTAAAGTCGGTATTTGTATGTAAATGCTAAGAACACACATGTAGGTGTAATCCCCTGTCTTTGTCACAGATGCAAAGAAAGCATTTGAGGGATTGATTTTTCTGCTGGAATTTAACATAATAGCATCATAATTCAGTATTGATATATGTGGGAAAATGGCATATTTTAATTCAGTATTTGTTGACAGTTCTAGACATTGATGAACTTTCTTCAGCAGAGTACTTTCAGCCGTTTTTGACGTTCTTATTAATTAACCACTTATGACTGTGTCTATTGTTTCTTTATATTTTTCAAAATCTAAAGAACATTTCAAAATTGCTTTTGCCACGTCAATGTAATATTGGTTAAAGAATTTCACATTCATGTGAAATAGTTAAAGGCTGAGCCTGTATATTTTTGTGTAAATATTATACAAATTAAAAAATACACATAAAGAAGAGTCAATCCATTACTGAAAAATTATTTATAGATTCCCCTGGAATTCAAGATTGAAAAGTTAATAAATGTGTAGTAATTGAGAGGACAGAGTTTCACATAATTATTGAACTCTGTTACTAATTTTCATTTCTTGTTCACAGAATCCATCCTCAGTATAGTTTCATTAGTGACTTTGAAATGATAACACATGGCATATTTTTCCTTGTGTGGAAGAAAGCTTCAATATTCCATTCGATGGGGAGAATACATTTCAATTTTGTTCACTTAAAGGATGTTTATTACGCATCCCTTTGTCTTCCTCTTTAAGATCAACAACGATGGTGGCTCAGGGTGTTAATTGATGTCACTGCAGTGCCTCTGACCGGAGGGGTCTAGGGTGTGAGTCCCATCAGTGGCAGGCTTTTTACAGGAGCTAGATAGGGAAATCGAATGCAGCCACTGTCTAGAGCAGTATTCTTTCGGATCGATAGTTGCTCAGATCGATAGTTTCCCACGGTTTCTCCTATCAACAACAGGCAAATGTCAAAGCAGTACCCAAACAAACAAGCCAGGGATCGCCCACTATCTTTCCTTCCTTTTCCTTGTCCTATCCTCACTCCCAACATACATGCGCGCGCTCTCACATACTACACACACACACAACTTACATGCATTGCCAGCATTACAGCAAACTGCTGGTCATGCCAGACCAGATAGACCAGTTGGGAGCTTAGGACTTGTTCCCACTGGAGGGATAAACTTGGGAGAGAAACTGCAAGCAGGCTGGTAGGTGAGCACCGGATCTCACCAGCCAGGGAAGGGAGATTACCTACACCTCCCACAATGAACAAAACCATGAACTACATTTGAGAAACTCATGACCTTGGCAGTTGACACGGCCAGAATAGCTGATCAATAGATCAGCACTGATGGGCATGCCTTTCAGCCTCTTTCTACCCTTCATCCCTCATCAAATGGCAAGGAAGAGCATATAAGTAACAAGAGTCGGGAAATGAGTTGGATCTCTTGTTCTTACAACATATATATTGCAATGTTTTATACTGTTGTTAAAATGTGCTATTTTTGATATTTATCTCCTTTGGATACTATTCACATCCCTTCCAGTGTCAGCCCTATTATCTGAAGCTACCACGATGACCTTGCACTGTTGCTTGTCTGTTATTTAAGTTGTTTTGTGGTGGGCACACCAGGTCTGTCAACTACCTCAGAATCTCCTCTCATTTTATTTAATACAGAAAAATAAAAAAAAAGAATCACGGTTTGCCTTGATTCTTTAAAATAGACTTGTAAGTGTGTGAACAAAGACATTAAATCTCAACATGGATCTCCGAGACTTTTTTCTAACTTCGAAAACAAAATCAAAATTAAAGGTAACACATTTACCCAGTATTTACATATGGCTTGCATTTTTAACTTGTGTCTGCAGTTCATGAGTATTAATTAGTATTAGGTAAGAGCCACATTTTGCTGTAATGTTGAAAATTTGTAGTTACTTGAGCAGGAGACAAGTTTGTTCCTTTGGAGTCTGCTGTAGAGAATGTCTCAAAATAAGGTTCCGTTTCACAAGCCACTAGGACACCGAATTCTTATTTAATGGTTTGTAATATCACTTTTTCCCCATTTTTAATTCATGTTTTATTTGCTATGTAATGTCATTTTTTTATACGTCACACAGCTATTTTCATTAGTGAATACTCAATTTACATTGAAATCAGATGTTTGTTCTTAACCTCTACCTTTACATCCAGGAAATTGACAATTTGTACATTATACTGTTGAAGTTATTTGTGAAATAAATATAAGTTATCTTAATAAAATGTGAGATTGGAAAATGATCTAACAAGGCTGTTAGCTATTGGGACCAATTAGTTTTTAAATGAAAAGGACAAAAGAATTTAAGAAAATAGTACAGCATAGGTAAATAACATTTTATTAATTCAAACAAAAATATACTAAGGGGCCATCATAAATTACGAAAAACAAATTTGAAGTATTTTGAATTCCCCCTCTGCCCGCTGTATCGCTCATGTAACCCTTACTTGAACCCCCCTCTAATAATTGCATAACGCTTGCGCAAGCCTCCCCCTCCCCCCCTCAAATTCAATCAATATTATTATTGATGAAAAATATTTGCATTTACTGTAACAATTTAAAGAATGTAACTTCTTTAATTTATTATATTTTTAATTTAATGTGTTAATATGGTATTGATTTAGTATAAGATGGAATAAAAAGAATGAATTCAGTAAATGTTGAAAGATTTTAAAACTAAATATCAGCATTACATAACACTAAACTCTGACCCCCCCCCTTCCCCTATGTTACGTAGCATAACGCTGCCTCAAATCCCATCACTCATCGTCAGCGTTATATAATTTATGGACGATCCGTAAGCTTACATCCCTGTTAATTTTTTAATTAAACAAGTATTTTTGGTCAATATATCATTTTCTTATGTATTGAAAATTTCAGAACAAGAAATATCCTTCATATTGAATTTTACGGTAAGAGTTTCAGTTAGAGTATTGACTGGTATAGACATTCATATGCATATAGATAGACACACACACGCAATTTAAATATAGTTTTCTCACTTGTCCAAAAATCTGAAACACTGTAGCTGAAATTACTGAAAACGGTGGGAATTCCGCCGATCTAGCAACACTAATCTCATCTTTCCGAACCGTACTGTCACAAGACGCATAACGGTTGGGTGTGGCATCTCTGAATACAGAGATTAACAGATTAGTTTTAAAATATCGGAAAGGAGGACACTTTTCAAGGAAGGACAGAACCTACAAAAGGAGGACAATTAGTCACCTTATATCCCGGAACATTTTTCTACTTTATTAAAACTTCAAAGTACAATTTTTATGTAAAATTTACTGTTCGTTCTGCAGAAAGTGGCAGTCCAGTGATGATAATAGTTAAAAGTGAGCCATCAATCATTACATCACTTGTGTTCTAATTATTTATGATGATGCTAATGTAAGTTTCAAAAAGTTTGACTTGAAAACCAACGTGGATAAAGTATATTTAGGAATGTGGACTCAGGCGCTGCAGTTCTCCCTCCTGAAATACATGGGTACGTTGAGCTTAGACACAATCAATCTGCTTTGATACAGTAAAATCGGTCTAAACCGGAAAATTTCCTCGGCCCGTATTCAATTGCATTTTACACAGCATCAAACGGAATTTGTCCAACGCGGAAACGAAACGGTTTTTATGTCCTGCGGGGGAAGAAAAACCTTCATAAAACGGAATTTCTGCGAATTTAATGCAATTTAGCAGAGAGACGCGAGATATAGGCGTACGTTTTCTTGAACCCCGGAATATTTACCCCCACTCCTTTGCCAATATTAGGGGAATGAAGAATAAATAATAGCAACGAGCGTTGTAGCCCAAATCTGATTACCAAAAATGTTCCCTTCGATGTAATAGAAACTATTTTGCATCAATAAATGAACGAATTAGTTTGATAGGAAATTCCTTTTGTGAACACAAAACTCTCCACTCCTCTCGCAACTAACGAAGCGAGGGCTCAAGAAAATGTGCTTGGGAACTGCCCCGCGTTGACAATCGTAACTCTTCAGGCAGAGCCGCAATGGTCAAGGCCATGTGAGGGTATCAGAAAGACAGTAATCTGGGTTGTGACGCATTGGTCGTTGAAAGAGTCAGCGAGCAGTCCGGGTGCAGTGACTAGGTAGTGAAGTGGTTGTTTTTTGATAAGCTTCACAGCCAACAGTGTAACAATGGTTGGAAGAAAACATAAAACTCTGAATATTAACATTTTTCAACTTCAGAAAACGTAATTGAAAAGGTGTTAGTAAGTGGAAAAACCAAAAATTGTAAAGGAATGTTGAAAAAATATTATTTCAGTGCACAGGTTATGAAGTGTTTCCTTTTAATAGTTATAAATTTGTTTAATATTCAATTCTTGGTGATTTCTTCCATAAACATGTAACATGTTAATATATTTTTTATAATTATAATAAAGTCTTGTAATTTACTAATTTCAGGGCAGAAATAACAATTGTCACAAAATTGATAACTCTGCATAAAACGGAAACCTCCTTAAAACGGAATAATTTATTGTCCCGATCGATCCCTGCTTAGACAGATTTTACTGTAGTATGTTTGAGTGCATCTACAAATGTATAATCTGCTTTGATGCAATTATAAAATACTTCATCTGTCATTTAAACAAATATCATTGTTGGAAGCACTAAAAAATTGATTATCACATCAAAAACTTTTTTAAAACCTTTTTTCTGAGTTCATTCCCATGTAACTATATGTGACAGCGCGTATTTTAAAAATATAATACGTATTTGAAGGGAATAACGTTAAACTGAGTAGCAACAAAATTAAAATTACCCCGCATGTGAACTTCCATGGCCTCTATACAATATGTATTGCTTGACACTATTTAATTTTCACAGCAAATGTTCTACGATATCAAATAAGATTCACAAAAAATAATGGCTGAGTTGTGTTAATTTGGGGAGTAATTGTGGTGTAAATATTATTACATAACCATTACTAAAGGCGAGAAAGTACGTGTTTTTTTTAATCCACTACTTTTATCAAGGATTTGTATTTAATTTCAGTCGGCGATCGGGGAATACGGACACAAATTTCGTTGATGAGTTTTTAAAGGTGATAAATAAAAAGCAGGTCTCATCAGTGTGGTGCACGGCCGTGTGCATGATTCATCAATTTAATTATGCATTTGGTATAGTCATCATTTGAGAC